GTCCGTAAAGTCAACACACATCTTCCATTTCCCGTTTTTCTTTTTGACCATCACTACATTGGAAATCCATTTGGAGTACTTTGATTTCCTGATGGAGTCGTTCGCTAATAACTTCTCTACTTCCTCGTGGACGACCTTATTGATAGCGGGGTTGAATTTTAGTCGGACCTGCCTTACTATGGGGTAGAAAAGGTCGACATTCAGCTTTTGTGTGGCAATTTCTTTGGGGATACCTGGCATGTCTGCATGAATAAAAGCAAACAAATCCGCATTAGTTATTAAGAATTTACTAAATTTACCTGATGATCTAATTGGACTGGGTCGAGGTCTTCTATGGTTGACTCTACGGATTCGACTATTTCTGGGTCTATGATGACTTCCTTAGCTTCATCTTATGACAACCTCGGCCCTGCTGATTGCTATGTTTCTTTTCCTTTTCTTTCTTTTGTTGGGTTGTTGTACTGTCCATGGCGATTCTGTAGCACTCTCGGGACGTGCGTTATTCCCCTTGTATGCTGAATATTCCCCGATGTGTTGGAAATTTGATCACTTGGTATAAGCTTGAGGGGACGAATCTCATAAGGTGTATCCACGGTCATCCCACGATGGCATTATACACGATGGCCTGATCCATGATGTGGAACATTGTCTCTAGAGTCACCCCATCAGTGAGAACGGGAAGTGTAATTTCTCCCGAAGTCCGTTCAACTGCATTGTTAAAAACGGTTAGTGTGATGCAACATGGAATTTTCTTATCCTCGAGTCTCATCTGTGCGATGACTCGGGGAGCATGCTCCACTTCTATCATGTACCATGATTCTTTTAACATCAGTATCTAAAAATCATAAAGTAATGACGAGTGAATCATTGTGAGGGAAAGTCAAACCGTCAGCATCTGTCTTATTGAAGATGATACTCTCTTCGAGTCTGTCATACCGTTCGTGGGTGATCGATCTTTTGAGCTTGTGGGTCGCAGTGAACTTGATGACGTTGATAGAGGCATCGTCGCTACCACCAATAATAATATTGATGGTACGAGCTGGTGAAGGGGGCTTTGGCAGGCCTGGATGTTCTCGTCCCCTTGCTAAGGCATTCCTGCCTTTGTCGTTGAGCAGTTCTTTAAGGTGCCATTGCTGCAGCAGGTTCACTACCTCTAGCCTTAGGGCGATGCAGTCTTCTCTTTTGTGTCCACGTTCCTGGTGAAATTCGCAGAGGGCATCAGATTTCCTGGTGCTCGGATCAGACCTCATCTTTGGCGGCCATTTTACTTTTATTCTGAGCTTCTGAGGAGCATAAACCACCTCTGTAGGTGAAACACAAAAATTATGAGCAAATAACAAGGGAGCATACCTCTACCGTTCTTGTGAGTTCCTAATCCCGACCTGGACGGGCTGTCTTCATAGCGAAAGGGGGGAGGAGCGGGCGTCCTGACATAGGGCTGATGTCACTCTCTACCTGGCCGCGGTACAGGATAATCTCTCCTCATGTTATCTCTACGTTCTTTACGGGGATCGGATTGTACCAAGGTGAGTCGTCGAGTTGGTCTGTTGAGGTCGTCATCATCTGCTCTGACCTCGACACAATAGGCATTATGGACTTCATCTCAAGTGGTTGGTGGATACTTCATTAACCGGCTTAATAGTTTTCTGGTCGCTTTCGAACCCTCTCTACTCAGCCCATTCTGAAAGGCTGCGACGGCCATCCCTTCAAAAATATTTGGTAAAGTCATCCTTACCCTGTTGAACCGAGCGAGGAAGTCCCTCAATCCCTCATGTGGATTGTTTGATGGTGAAGATATCGTTTACTCTTGTTTCGACTTTCTTGGCCCCGGTATGCGCCGTCACTAACTTATCAGCCATTTCTTCGAACGTTTCTATGGAGCGGGCTGGTAACTGTAAAAACCATGTTAATGCCCCTCCAGTGAGGGTTTCGCCAAATTTTTTCAGCAAAATGGAGGCCACCTGCTCCTTGGTGAGGTCATTGCCTTTCACAGCGGTGACGTAGTGAGTCACATGGTCTTCGGGGTCAGTTGTCCCATCGTATATTCTGATATATGGTGGCATCTTGAGGGTCTTTGGTATGGCATGTGAAGCCGCTTCCTCTCTATATGGTTGTTCTATGAACCTATCGGCATCATTTTTTGGTAGTAATTACGGGGGAGCCAAGTATCTTGTCTACTCGTTCCTGATTCTCTTTTATTTGGTCTTTGAGCACCTTGTTTTCATTTTCATTTTCAATTTCTTCCATTCTTTTCAAGACGGCGACGAGGATGTTGTCACCTGCACTGTCAGTAACATCGTGAGTTTTACTTGAAGTTGGAGGGTCTGGTTAGTCGTCATGTTCGTTCCCTCGCTGTGCTACATAGGCTCTTGTGGTTTCAATAGTCATGCATGGAGATTGTTTGTTGAGTATGCTGACTGGGGTATCAATTAGCCATGCTTCGAGGCGTCCCCTCTCCCACGGACATAGAGGGTCCTTTCCCGTTTGGTTTTGTTGTGCTGCAGAAAGGTGGGGGTGACCTTTCTCATTTGGGAGAGGCTATAGGCGTTGCCCCCTCATCATGGGTGTCATAGCCTTCGTTGATAACATTCATGAGGTTGAGGAAAACATTATCTGTTGCCCTCGTTTTGTTTCCTTGGTTGCCTGCCATGGAAATTTTGTACGCACAGAGAGGAGAGATAAACTTTGTGGTTTGTTAGGTTAGCAAGTCATTTGAGTTGTAGATCTAATGGAAAATAAAAGATTGGATCTTCACAGACGGCGCCAAACTGTTTAACCCAACATTTAGATCTAAGTTTAAACAATTAGATTTTCTAATATGATAGAGTTAATCTTAGCCAATATTAATATCCAAAAGGTCGTTTAACTGATTTTGTGACAAAATATCACAAATTCTGTCAAGTATCATTAAATATGTAATAACAACGGTATTTAATGACCTAAGAAATAAGAAGACAACATTCAATAGTAATAAATGAAATATAATGTCATTTAAGTAAATAAATGCAAGTGAGATAACCGAAAAGAGGTTGAATTAGGTGATATTCCTCGTGACAATGATAAGTGATTGATGAACCTTTGAATATTCGTATTCTTCTTGGATCGTGGAAGAAAATTTAAGATTATATGTAAGGAAAAGGTATATTTTGTATGTATATAAAGCAAGAATCTTTAGAGAATGTCAAAGCATTGTTCTTTTAAAATGAGTGTCAAATCCCCCTTTATAACTACATATCTTTCTATTTATAAGGGGACATGAGCCACAAAAATCCTAATAGTATATATTCCAAGAATATTTACTGGAATGTTCTCTCTAAAACTAGTCGTTACTGCTCCGTTAAAGAGAGTACTCATCCTCAACCTTGATCTTTGTTGACTCCTCGACCTCGCTTTCGTCCTTTATCGAAATCAAATTGACAACACGTGGCAGCCTTCAAAGACTTTCTTAATATCGATTAGGCTCGCATATAAGTATGGTAATTTTTGGCCCATACAAGGAGCTCAAAATCATTATTTTGTGTTAGTTTATCCTTTTCGGCCTTATGGAACTCTGTCTCGAACCAATAATATATAGTAATAATAGTAATTAGACATCATATTCCACTATTTTGTATATGTTTGTTGATGATGTCTTTAGACTCTAGATATGGTTTCAGAGGAATCATGCCTGGCCTTTGTGAGGGATGTTGGTGCTGATACTCCTACTATTCAGTCTGTTCTAAGAGTGAGAGACTTTTTGGATGTGTTTCCTGCATACCTACAGAGCATGCCACTCGGCCGCCTGACCTGAGGTCGCGGTTGGAGTGCCTAAGCGCAATAAGGGTCAGGGAGCCCAAATGTGCGACGGGTCGGAGTCGCGACATTACGAGAGTTGAGTTTCAACCACCACTTGTCATGACGTCCGTCGCCGTAGACTCGCATTTAGGACAACCGCGCGCTCGGGACGCACGGGTGGATGATATGCTTCGTACGTGTGTGATGGATTTTAGGAGTGCTTGGGATCAGTTCTTGCCACTTGCGGATTTTTCCTACAACAACAGTTGGTGCCTGGGATCACTTCTTGCCACTTGCGGATTTTGCCTACAACAACAGTTATCAGACGAGCATTCAGATGGCTCTGTATGAGGTTTTGTATGGTAGACGGTAGCGGTCTAAAGTGGGTTGGTTCGAACCGTTTTGCTTAGTATGAGTTTCTATGTTTTTGGAGAACTCGATACTTCATAATACTAGTACTAGTATAAAGTAAAGAAAATATTACACGTACATATTCTTTGAGAAAAAAGAGTCCTCCATTACAAGCCGGTTTTCGTTTCGTAAAGCAATCCTCCATAACTCATAGTTTCATCTCAACCTTTATTAAGGCGTTCGTTTCAAAGATTTATTTTTGAATATCTTTTTTCAGCCATTTAGAGAAGTTTTTCAACCAAACACCATTACATACACCGTATAAGTTTTCCAGGTTTTGTAACTTTTTTCAAAAAATGAAAAAAGTTTTGTTTAGTGGCATTTGGTTAGAAAAAAGAATGGTATTGCAAAAAAACGTTACCCTTCTGTCAAAAAAAAGGAAAAAGTATTACTTTACCCAAGTTTTGTACTCACTCCGTTCCAATTTATGTGAACTTGTTTGACTGGGCACAAACTTTAAGAAAAAATAAAAATTTTTAAAATTTGTGGTACTAAACAAGTCAAAAATAAGCCCAGAGTATTTATGTGATTATAAAAACTTCTCATTAAGGATACAATTATAAATTTAAGCTAAATTATTATCAAATTTAGAAAAAGATCATTCTTTTTGGAACGAATAAAATAGAAAATAGATTCACGCACAATTAGTACAACTTAAAAGGGGTGAAAGCGAAATTACTTGTGAAATGCAGTCCTTTAACCAAAACAATTTACAGCAACTCCCCGAGCTGTCATGTGTCAACTTTCCAATGGAGAAGTCATGCTGCAGTCCCCGGCTTGAGAAAGAAACCCAAAAATGGTACTAGTGACCACTGACCCCCTCCGTCCCTATCGCTACGCTTCCAGTTATTGGGTCGTGTCCCATTTTTCCCTAATCCTCTGGTCACGTGACCCAACCCACTTCACTTCTCTCTTTAAGCAGACGAAAAAGAATTCGTAACGTCAATTTGAAAACCCCTCTTTCTCTCTCACGAGATACATATATACTCTGGACTCTACACTGATTTTGAAGAAAATGGAGAATTCTTCTGAAAATCTGGATGATGGAATGTTATGGCTACCGTCTGATATTTTCCCTGTAGAAGAAGTTTCAGTTACTTTTACTCCTCCCAAGTTTAAAAACAACCACCCCACTACCTCTACTTGTTGCTGTTACTCTTGTAATGATCATCTCTCTTTAATGGCTGAACAACAAGAAACTGATAATGAAAATATCATTCAAAGCTTCGCTGCTTTTTCTCTTCTTCATCAACGTAACCACCACCTCCCTCATACCCACTATGTTCCAAAGCCATTTCCCATTTCTGAGGTACCTTTTTTTCTGCGGCATTTTTAATTACTTTTTAGGGTCTTCTATATTTTATTTATGTGTTGCCATTTTTACTGTTCATGGGAGCTCTAAGTTTTGTTGCTTTTACTTTGTTCTTAAATATTCCTCCATTGTTTGTACTGCTTTAATTTGTGGGAGCTCTATTTTGTTGCTTTTTTAAATATTTCTTCATTGTTTGTAATGTTCAGCGGTTCAGACCGGTAGAGAGGTGCAGGTGTACGGATTGTTCCCTTTCTGGGTGTGTTGAACGAAATAGAGGGGGAGAGCTGCTTCGGACCGGCGGTGTTTATCCGTACCAGTTTTATACACCCCAGGTAGAGTTGAAGCTTGAAATAAATGCGAGTTATTTCTGGATATATATAAATTTCTTTTCTTACAAACGGTACTAGTTCATGCATATATTGATGATAGGTTGAGAGCTTGATTGAAGCAAGAAGTAGGGTTTTGCAGATGCAAGAGAACCGGTTCATCAGAATGCGTAACCTGAGAATAAATGAAGACCGGTTCATGGGAAGCCGGTTTTTTCCATTTGTGGGAAGTGGATATGGAGGAGGAGGTAGTTCTACTTCTGGTGGAACAGGTGTTTTCCTTCCGAGAGTACCCACTAACATCAACGATTATCGTAATCATCCTCATGCTAGAAAGAGACAAGGCAAGTCAATCACATCATTGAGTTAATTAATCTAATTTGCTTTTGACCACTCTTACTGTTAATTTATTTGTATGGTTAACTTGAAATTCATTCATTCAACGTGAATGAGATTGAAGAAACCAGTGAGTGATATCACTTGCAAAATACTACTCCCACCTCCCTTTCAATTTGTTTGACTAGATATATATGTTATTTAAAAAGGAACAAATATAACTTTTGTCACTCAAGTTATATAAGACAGATTAAAAGAAGAGAGTTAGAATGGTTATTTTGAGTTTTGACATCAGTGCAAACTTTAATTCTTGTATGTTTATGGGTTCCTTGTGGTCTGTTTTGCCTTTTTTGCAAGCTGATGGTGGTAAGTGAGCGTTAGGTTGGTTGTTGGGTGGGTTATTTGCCATTTGGGATATACTAAGTATGAATTGTCTGTGACTCAGTTTTGTGCTTGAACGAGATGGATATTAGATGATACTAGCTAGAATACCAAATCATATACTAGTATTTAAGATGTAAATCTTGAACTTGTGTTGATAAAATACCTTTTAAGTAAAGAAAAGAAAATGGGTGTTTTTAATGATGTTAAAACTAATTATCCAATAATAGAAAACAGCCTGCTTATTTATTAGTAAATCTGTTAGGGAGAAAAGAGAGGCAGTAGGCGTGGCTTATAAATAATACTAGTAGATAATTAGAAGATGCAGAAAGGCAACTACTAGTCCTCAAAGGTGTGGTTCTTTTCACATGCATAAGTTTTGACACATAAAATTACTCGATTATCTGCACTTAAGAGTGTGACATTATGGTCAATAAAGTGGGTTGGTTGAGGTTTTAGGTTAAATTCTTATTGGAGACAATAAATACCAGGTGTTTTTCTCATCCGTTCAGGCCTTGGGAAATAGAGTTATAGGGAGACAAAAAACACTAGGTAATTCGTTCTATCTTGGTGAATAAAGTTATTTGGTACATGTTGCTGGTGGGATACTAGATATCCCGTGAAATTAGTTGTAATGTGCGCAAGCTGGTCCGAACACCACGAAGAACAAGGTGAAGGAACACTGGGTCATGGAGTAGATACAAGTGGTTTTGGTCTGCCTCTTATAAAGGAAGGGGGAGGGGGTTAGTGGCCATAGTTCATACCCGCCCATTACCAATTTAATTTTGAATTAATCGGCCATAGACCTTTTTTAATACTTGGTTTCATCACCCCTTTCATGGTGAGTTGGAAAAGGAAACTAATCCATTTCTGAACGATACTCTGTTTAACTCGATTGATATCAACATGTTTATTGGGACCGATGCATATACTATGGAAAGAAAGGGAAGGAAACTGAATAATTGTACGTATAATTCTCCATATTCCTTATTTAGTTTGACAGGATCAAGAGGAAAGAAGTTGAAGAAAGAAACAAATTTTATTTAAACCTGCTAATTTTCTCTGTTTTGGGAGAATTTAAAAAGTACTAATTATTTGTCACTATTCTCCTTAACACAGAAATTTATTTTCGCCTTTTTGCACTTCTTCCGGTTACAAAACAACAACACAGTATAATCTCATTAATGGGGTATGAGGAGGGTAGTGTGTACGCAGGTCTTACCCCTACCATGGGATAGAGAGGTTGTTTCCGATAGACCCTCGGCTCCCTCCCTCCAAGAACTCCCCACCTTGCTCTTGGGACAACTCGAATTCACAACCTCTTGGTTGGAAGTGGAAGGTGCTTATCACTAGAGCAACCCACTCTTGTCAAAAACAGAAAGTTATATTCCTGATTTTTCTCTAGTGCTAGTTTTGTGAAGCAAAAATTTGATGTTTCGCATACTACTTTACATCATGTTATACAGGAAAAGTGAGTACGAAGGTCATAGTACTTGTGTCACTTTATAAAATTTCATCGCTATATGCCTATATCATGGTTAATTTTCATGACCTATTTATTCTTAGCTGAGTCAAGTTTCATCTTTTCTTTGTTCATCTTTACACTTTTTCAAAGGAAAAGGTTGAAAATAGTTGTCTTTTGGGAAAGGCAACTGACATCTGATCAACTCATAGTATATCTTTTGATTATATATTGCAGTTCATTCTGATGTCAAATTTTGGGAAACAAAGCTTAGAACAGTGGATTAATTATAATTTCCTTCTTCCTCCACCTTGTTTCAGTTGAATGAGGGATAGATCTTTGGGTCATTCTGGAAATACTATTTGTCTGCTTTTTCACTGCTGATTGTAGTTTCTGTTAAAAATAACATTTGCTCTGGCCAGAACTTTGGCAGTTTTGTTTATGTGGCATTCTTTATTTAGGTCCCAAATCTCCTTCACTCAGGCCCCCTTTGAACAGGTCAAATTGCAATTCTTGATTATCTATCATTTTAACACTTTCAGTATATATACTGCTAAAATTTGATTTGATGGCCAATATTACCTGGTAGAGAGTTGAATAATTGAGCTGTGAAAAAGTTGGCATGAACACCATCATTTTAAAAATAAATCTAAAAAATTTGTAGGGTGCACTACCTTTTAATTAGGAATTTGGAGCAGAATTGCTATGTTTTTCTTTTACAAGTAACAAGTAAAGCTGTATCTTTTAGCCACTTCACTTTTTATCTGTTTACTCAACCATTTTAGGCAATGAATTCAGCTGAATTTCCTATTAGCTCCATTTCCTCTCTTTCTCTATTTTATTTTTCGGGTTTACGGTCGTACTTCTTTTATGATAATGAGGACTATGAAGAATTGGACATATAATTAAGTTGTTAATCAATGGCTGTTTATTACTACGAATTAGATGTTAATTTCATGATGTCTATGGTGGGTTATTTTTTTATAGGGTGAAATTCTGATTCATATTTCTGTATGTGCAGCAGGTGGTAGAAATAGGCAGGATGTTCAGCAAACTGGTCAGAGCTATCCATGCATATAACAAGCAAAGAAAGATTGGATCAATTGATATAATTTGAACTAGCATATGGCTGTTTGTTAACTTTTGTCTTTGCCAATTGCCTTGTTGAGTGAAATGGTTAAAGTCTTTGGCAAAGGCCAAAGGGACCTGTTTTTAAATCTTTTCCCTTTTGGTGTCTTCATCTGACAATTGTAATGTGACTCCTTTCAAATCTGTGTATTATAATAATGCGACTACACAGGCCCTTTTTCAAACTTTTGCAATCTAATGAAAATACAGCTTCTGGTCACCTTTGGATTTGATTTACGTTTAAAGTTTTGGAGGTCTAGTTATGTTTCCATTGAGTTTTTGAGCAAACATTAACATTTGTGTTAGTTTTTGCGAGAAACCTGTTTTGAGTTGTTTTTAGTTTTCAGACAAGATCTTAGTTTGGTTTTAAACCATATAATAGTACTCTATTTGTTTGTTTCTTGGAGAAGTTTCCCATAAATTTAAAACTACGAGCCCTTCGTTTTTGAAAATTGAGTTACTTTGCAAATCAAACTAATCTGTTCCAGAAACATTTAAGAATGTGGCCTAAACATTATTCAAGAAATCATTGAACAATAATTTTTCTCAAAATCGCTCTCTAGAATCTGTTTGAAAGTTTAGTTTTCCAAGGGCCATAGAAATCTAGCGGTTTTTTGGTTGTTTAAGTAAAACACTGTTCAATTTAAGAACTTGTGCTATTTATTTCTTTACCTTTCTAATACTTAAATCAATGTAGAGGATCATTTGGTTATTGTGTAAACCACTGTTTTATTTAAGAACTTGTGCTATATATAGTTGCTCCTTTGCCTTTTCAGAAACTGATCCAATGCCAATTTTGATTGCTGAAGGTGTTCCTAGCTTCAGCCTTTTACCATATTTTGCCTTGAGGAACAGATGAAAAGACTCGTGAATGAAAATTTATGGCAGTTTATGGCAACAAAAGTAGTAGACTTGTCCTAATCGTTGGGTTCTGCGACTTGGCGTGATTAAATGATTTTTACGTAGATATGTGTATCTATGCCTATTCTCTTGAAAGATTAATGCCTACTGCTACTTATTGAGAAATTACTTTTATAGGAAACTGAATGACTGAGGATCAAGTGTAATGCCTATCAATCTAATAAATGTAAATTAACGGAGAACAATGAAAAATTGAATTTCACAATCAACGAATGATCTTTTTTCTTCTTGTTCTCATTTAAATAGTTCCCTATTACTTTTTGTTTTGGTGATTTGGCCAACACGTTGTGAAAAGTTGTGGTTGCTACACCAAACTTTACCTGCCGAAATGGTTCACCATTTCATTACTGACAATTCATTTAGTAAATAATGTAATACTACTGAAATGGATTAAACTTGAATGAAGTGGGACATTTTACAGTTGCAATTGCATGAGAACATGTTCGAATTAGAAAGGGGGGCAAGATCAATGCAAAACAAAATTATTTGGGTGAAAGGGCTCTTTTAAAATCTCCCTTTCTAGTTTTTTTGGAAGATTTTACAGTTGCAAGTGCACCCAAAAAATTTTCTAGTGAAAGGGTGTCAATTGCCGCTATTTAAAAAAGGGTGGCACGGCTAACTCGGGTTATTTGGATATGGTGGAGAAGGCCTGTTAATGCAAAATTGTAACAACTATTTCATGTAATTATCATGTGGGAGTTATGAGAAAAAGAAGAGTTAAATATGTTAAGTACCCCTATCTTATGAAAATGAGGGAGTTGTGGACTAAAATATATATAAATAGTATTTATTAGTTTTAGGGTACACACTTTGTGTGAACCTCATTTTAATGACAACAAAATTTTAAAATCACATACATTACTAAGTAATATATTTGAATTATAAAATAAAAACTAAAGTAAAATTGTAAGTTCTTGAGAATGATGAGTGCATCATATTTAGCTAGCTCGAAAAAGGAAGAAATCTTACCCTGCAGAAGTCCTCTAATGCCTCGCTNATATATATATATATAATTTAATTTAATCTAGCATTAGAGTACGTGCATTGCGCTTGAACCTATAATAATGAGTATAAAATTATAAAAAAAAAAATAATAATTTTAAACAATGTGTTTGAGATATAAAATAAATTAAAAATTAGTTCATGAATATGATGAATATAAATCTAAATATAAATATGATGACTCCATGTTCTAAAACAGTAGATCATAGAGATATAATTCAAAATTAAATTAAATAGATCAAAGTACTATCTCCTTTACTTTTCAATCGACTTCTTAATACGAAAGTCAAATTGTTTAATTTTTGTTCGTAATATGTCAGTTTGTTAATTTTTAAAATTACTAATTATAGGTTTAGAGAAATAATTAATTAATAAATAAAAGTAATATGTATTATAATATTTTTGTAACATATTGATAAATTTTATTCTAATTTATTTTAAAATTTTAATAATATTAAAACGTATAATAGTTTAAATTAAGAAATATTTTATAATTTTAAAATTTATTTGATTTCAAAGTGTGAACATTTTAATACCTTACAACACATATACTTCCTATGAGTTATTATGTATTGTAATATTAATCTTTGTAATTGTGATGAAAATTTAGTCGTAAAATTATTTAGAGAAAAAGAAAGGATGGTGGCAATACAATTACTTAATTTGAGTGAATCTAAAACATTTATTCTGCATTTTATTTTTAGTTTTGAAATTGAACAAATGGAAGTGAAAGCGCGAAGCGAAAAACAGTCCAAGACTAATCTTACTCTTCCTTTTCTTTTTAAAAATTGTAAATTACTTTTCCTTTTCAAATATGTTATATTACACACAATTCAAATAAGGAAGGTTTTGGTACAGAAAATATAGTTGATTTTGAAGTCCTAAATATTAGGACAATAATTAAATGACTATCCTAAATATTAAAAAAATAATTAAAATGACTATTTTGTCCCGTGTAAAAACTTTTTGTAAAGAGTAAAAAAACGAAAATGACATTTCGCTAAGGGCGTTAGATTTAACATGTGTCATCCTAAATGAGATGGATGAAAATTTTGGGTAATCGCCTTCTTCTCATGTATGATTGCTCTAAGTAAAAACAGTTGTCTTTAGGGTTTAGCTCATCAGTCATGGAAGAATATGTATTGAAGATACTCTTTGTTGAGTTTAGGGATTGCACAACCTTTTCCATTGGACCCTCTTGAATTCTTCCATAGTAAGAATTCCATGCATAAGTTCCAATTACCTTCTCCCTTAGATTATTAGTTTGCAACCAAATGCTAATTGCTTTCAATCATTTAGCATTAATTCTTTCTTTCTTCTATATTTATCCCCCCCTTCTTTCTATTTCTTGTCTATCTTTTTAATTTCTTTGTTCTTGCAATTTATTTGTTATCCGAGTTAATCGACCAACAAACATTTGGGCCAAGCCTATAAGACTAACCGGAAAAAAGGTTTTCTTCCATGCATATTCAGAACTTTTTATTAAAAAACATTTACGAGGTGTCCTATTTAGTTGCCGCTATTTAACCTACACCCAAAAAAAAATTAACTTGTACCTAAAGTACATATAACTTCAAATAAGTTGTTTCTTCTATGATTTTCCTCCTCCCCCTCCCCTCCTCCTCCTCCTTAGTTGCTGTGAAAACAGAGGTGACAATGGGTTTACATGATATTTATGAGCAAGTTTTAAGGTGATTTATGGTATCGTACAGTAGTGAGTAGTTGTGACACTCATTTATTTGCTACATCATAGGATTTCTTCTTTTTCTTCTTTGTTGCAGAATGAGTTTGTTAGATTTGTTATTTTTGATTAGTGTTTTAAAAGGCGTGGCGTAAGGCGATGCGTTTTACGTAAGCCCCAGCGAGGCGTAAGTCCCGAGGCACGGGGCATAAGGTTGTTTAATTTTTAATTTAAAAGGCGTGGCGTAAGGCGATGCGTTTTACGTAAGCCCCAGCGAGGCGTAAGTCCCGAGGCACGGGGCATAAGGTTGTTTAATTTTTAATTTAAAAGGCGTGGCGTAAGGCGATGCGTTTTACGTAAGCCCCAGCGAGGCGTAAGTCCCGAGGCACGGGGCATAAGGTTGTTTAATTTTTAATTTAAAAGGCGTGGCGTAAGGCGATGCGTTTTACGTAAGCCCTAGCGAGGCGTAAGTCCCGAGGCACGGGGCATAAGGTTGTTTAATTTTTAATTTAAAAGGCGTGGCGTAAGGCGATGCGTTTTACGTAAGCCCCAGCGAGGCGTAAGTCCCGAGGCACGGGGCATAAGGTTGTTTAATTTTTAATATTTTTATAAAATAATATAAGTACATTAAATATTTTGAAGTAGGTAAAATTACATAAAAATTGAAGAAACTATAAATAAGTAAAAAAATATATATAGATGTGCTCCATCCCCATAAAAAAACTAGTCAAAATAATTCATTATATGCTACTTACAAGTACAAGTAACTTGAGTTAAAAAGAATAAAGTTTTCTACATAGAGGAACAAAAAGAATGACTAACCTGCAATTTAAACTTTGAACTTGCTGCTATGGAGGAGAATGAAGGTTTCTTTATATTTGTAAAAAAAAAAATTGATTGTTCGTTGCATATGGGAGATAATAGCAGACTAGCGAACAAGATAAAGAATTGGGAAAGACCATAAATTAGAGCTTTTAACAATAAAAAATAAAGTCTTTACATTTAAATTTAATATTTCAGTTCTTTTATAAAACTTTTTAATAATTACAAGCTGACTTTTGAGAATTTGAATATTATATTAAGGACTTATTATATAAATTTTATTTTAATTTGAAAAAGTCTCTTGGGCTTACGCCTCACTACAAAAACGTGCCTCAACGCCCGAGCGTACGCCTATAAATCGTGTGTTGGCATGTCAAAATTTGATGAACAAGTTTCTGTTTCGTACCAATTTGTACTTCACACTAAAATGAAAGTGCATGCATAATTTGGCTGCGTTTTAGACTAAAATATCTTAAGTGCAAATTTTACACTTTAGACTAAAATGTCTTGAGTGCGTGCAAACAATTGGTTGCATTTCATACTAAAACGTCTAAGTGTAATTTTTTCTTCTTTTTCTTCTTCCGCTTCAAAAACTTTGCTCGGTGTTGGTTAACAGAGATTCCATGGCTTATTGTATTGTGAATCTCCATAGCTTTTATTTATTTTCGGGCTAATTTTGAGGCTAAAAAGGAATAAATTAAATTGAGCATTTTCATATATATATATATA